GATTCTGCAATCTGCATTTGGGGTAAAATTGGGAGTTCATAACCCTCTTCAATCTAATGTATGAAATACGATATGTCAAGAGCTTTGTAATGTTGTGAACAACCAATAAAAAAAATAAAGTCTAATGTTATGTCTTAAAAGTGCACTCAGACTTTGCATTCATGAGGCTGGGGGGCAGGAGGATCACAAATTTGAGGACAGTCTGGGCAAAACATCCTGTCTCAAAAAAAAAAAAAAAAAGTTCTGTGGATGTAGCAGAGTACTAAAGCACCCTGGTGTTCAATCCTTAGTACCTAAAACAAAACAAAACAAAACAACAAACCAAACAAAAACATCCAAAACCAAAAAACAAAACTTGACACTCTGTTCAAATATATTCATCTTATCTAAAAAAGAAAATCTCTTCCATTCTACCCCCATCTTAAAGTAATATTGATACTCTATAAGAGATTTATCTTGCAAATTTGTGAATGTGAATACCCCCTGGGACAAAGATGCATATCCTGAGAATACCTTGGTTAGAAATATTCAAGCTTGGAGGATTACCAAGGAATGGTTTGTTAAATGTGCGATATTATATACTCATTTTAGCTAGGTATGACATTGACATTCCTCTAAATGTAAGAAAAGATAATATTTCATTTAGTATTTTTGGTCCATGTGTCATTTGTGTTATTAAATTGTCCAGGGGGTGGGCCCAGGACCATCTTTGAAGTGGAGAGCAGGCACATATGCTGTCATTCTGCAGTTCCAGTATGTCCATTTTGTTTCCAAAACAAATCTCAGCTTATCTACTTCTCTCCATCTCTACCATCATCTCTCTAAAGATTTTTAATATCCTCTAAACAACCTTACCACTTCCACTCTTGCCCTTGGTGATCCAGTTCCTGAAATGAGATTGAATAATTGTCTTTAAAAATGCAAATCATATCATGATTCCCTCTTCAAATACTCAACAAATGAATTGAAATAAACATACTGGCTTGATGGTTAAGAGCATACACTCCACCTACGTGGCCCTACCCTTTCTAGTTGTGTAAAAATGTGCTCATTATTTAATACCTGTGTGCCTCTGTTTCCTCACATGTAAAAGAGGAATAATCATACCTTATCTCACAGAGTTGCTGTGGGGATTAAAAGAGTTGGTCAATGTTCAGTATTTGGAACAATGCAGGCGTATACTAAGTACATCTTACTCATTAGCTCTTGTTATTGCTTTTTTGACAGTACAAGACTGCATAGACTGGTTGCTGCTTGCCTCTTCCACTTTGTCTAGGGCCATTTTTTCTCTTACCTATCCTGCTCTAGCAACATAGGTCTTCCCCTGATTCCTCTTTCCTGCCTTCTGGTCTTTGTGCATTTGGAGGTGTTTCTGCTGCCTAGAATGCTCCCCTCCTGGTTCTCACAGGCCTGCTCCTTTCTAGTACCCTAATCTCAGGGTAATTACTACCTTCTTGGACAGGACCTCCTGAGTACCCCTTCAAGTATGTTCTCGTCTGGTACTCTTGCCACAGTCCTGTTTCTTAATTTTTAAATTAGGTAAATACATTTTTGATACCTTCATAACCAGTGTCTGATGCCGCATGCTAGTTTCTGAGTGTAGCACAGACATCCATTTTACTCATTATTGTAAACCCAGTGACTAGCACAGGGCCTGTCATAAACATACATGTAAAATAAGGAAATATACGTTTCAATGTTATTACTTCATCTCACTCTTCAATGTGATACTTTGAAATGAACATCAAGAGAAGTCTGAAAAGAGTTCACAAAAAATCAAAATGTAGCCCCTAAAAGGTAGCACACTAAGGTGGAGAAAGACTATGCTCTGAAATGATGGGGTCATTTGGTAGGCTAGGGAAGAGTAGGAACTTCAGGTGTGTGTGTGTGTGTGTGTGTGTGTGTGTGTGTGTGTGTGTGTGTGTGTCTTTCTGTGTCCCAGGGGCTTTTTAAAACAGAAAAGGCGTTCATAGTAAGTGTAAAAGGACATCACACAGGAGTTTCACAGCTCTTACAACTTTTACATCATAATCCTGCTAAAGTAGAAAACTTTTTAAAAAGAGTTTCCCCCCTCTCTTTCTGTATCTAGGGAAAGCTATTTTATTCAGTGTGATTTGTGAGGTAATATATTTAAATTTCTGAGCAATGTCTGGATTTGTACTTTCATTTCTCATGGTGAGCTGATTTCTGACAGTATTTGGGAAGAGGACAAAAACAAGATAGAACAAAATAACATTGTCTCCTATGTGCTTTAGATGTCAGGCATCAAACATCCCAGAACAAAGCAACCAATTCAGCCCTGCTTCCTCTGTCTTGCTTCTCACAGTGACACAGACATTGGTCACAATTTCCCCTCTGCAGCTTCCCTGCATACTCCTAGGGAAGTCTTGAATGACACACCCAGTGGCCAGACCCCACAGACTGAGGTGGCTTGGTAGGGGCTTGGCATAGTGTGCAATGTAAAATGTCTAATGAGGCATTCCAGAGCTGCTGAGGGGGGAGAGTCTCCCCGGGGGCTTTCTAAATAGTTCTGAGGCTTTTAGAACAAAAGCCCCACAGAGTCTCTGGTTGGCAACTGCTGTGGCTAATTTTATTTTCATCAGGCAAGGCCCATGGCAGGGGTGCCTGAGGGAGACTGTGAAGAGTATTTTCGGTTTTCCTTAGGCAATTAGTCACAAACCAAAATTTGAAATAGCTCTTAGACTCTTTGTGGTGGTGGTGGGAGAGAGGGAGAGGAGGAGAGAGAGAGGGATAGATACAGATATTATAAAGCATAAAATTAACCTCCACAAAGATGATCTCTACTACAAGAATTAAACCATATATAACAAGTGGCAGGAAAAAAGAAAAAAAAAAGAGTTTAGAAAGTGAACTCTCACTGAAGTCTAGGTACCACAGGAGTTACTTTATCTATATTGTATCTTATTAATGTTCACATCAATAAAGATTATTATTATACTCCTTTTAGGAAACTGAAGCTTTGTGAATTCAACCTACTTCCCACACAGCAAATAAGTAAAAGACACAGGATTTAAGTCCTGGTCTTTCTGATTTTAAAGTCCATTTTCTTCCCATTAAAACTTGCTATTTCCATATAAGACCAAGTGGAAGAACAGACAGATAACCAAAATCACTAAAATATATTTTAAAAAAATATTTATTTTTAGTTTTTGGTGGACACAACATCTTTATTTTATTTTTATGTGGTGCTGAGGATCGAACCCATGCCAGGGGAGCAGTCTACCACTTGAGCCACATCCCCAGCCCACTAAAATATTTTTTGAGCACTATGCCAGGAGTGATAATTCTAGGTGCTGCAATGGGCTTCATCCTTAATCTCAGTGCTAGTTCAAAAGACCTCCTGATAGTTTTTAGTATTCATCCAAAGTCTTCAATTGCATTTTACTGAGTTATTACTGGGCTGGTTTAACAATACTAAGTTGTATTGATCTCATTTACCTTTTCACTCTTTCCTCCAATGTCTTTGAGACAGGGTCCTAAGTCATACTGCTTTTCATAACCCTCATGATTCCTTATGCAATTTCTCAGTCTCCTTACTATCTTTTTTCTCCCTTTTAACAATAATTTTTTTAATTTAAATTTTTCTTTTAACACTAATTTTTCTCTTAATCATTTTAAAGTTTCTCTAGAAAATCATTGTTGAGAAGCTTTTGTTGTTTATTTTTATGATAGACATGAATAATTATGTATTCCTTTATAACTGAGAAAGGTTAAAGAAAGATAGAACACAAAGAGAAACTGAAGTAAAAACAGGGTCACTTTCTAAACCAAAGATTACTTTTGTACACAAAATAGGTATGTATACACTGACTACATATGGTAGTAGTATCCAAAATTGGGATAATGTAATAAATGTTGACTACTAGCAGTTTAATGCCATCATAAACCTCATGACTGGGCTGTCATACTACATTGTGCTTGGAAAATTCCACTAGTCAGTCCCACAGTGATTTGTCTATTTGACAGTTGCAAACCAATGGCAAAGATTACATTACAATTCTACAGTGGGTGTCAGTTTGTTCTCAAGGATGGTTAAGCTTTTAAGTTGAAACTTCACAGCTATGTAATGAGTGGAAGAGTGGAATTTATTTCCTAACAATAAAATCTATACTATAAGCCATAGAACTTTTTTTTTTTTTTTTGTACCAGGGATTGAACTTGGGGGTGCTTAATCACTGAGCTACCTCCTCAGCCCTTTTTATTTTTTATTTCAAGACAAGGTTTCACTAAAATGCTTAGGGCCTTGCAAATTGCTGAAGCTGGTTTTGAACTTGCGATCCTTCTCCCTCAGACTCCCTAGTCACTGGGATTACAGACACACACCTATGCTCCCAGCAAGCCATAGAACTTTAGAGGCAAAAATATTTTCAACAATTTTGGTAAAAGTTCAAATTATTTAGATATAAGTATATCATTAATATAAAACTTACCTTTAGGTGTTTCCCAGCATACAAAAGAATCCATTAAAGACAAGCCTTGCTTATAATAAAATGTAGTTAACTGTAGCCAATCAGCATCAAGTGTACTAATGATAGATCCTTTTCTTGTTACTTTCATTGATAGGACTCCTTCCTGATAGGTCCAGCATGTTGAATCATCATCAAAAACATTGAAAACTATATACAACTTGTTATCTGGGGATAGACATTCAGAAGGATGCAAAGTTAAAATTTTATTTACCAAAGAGTCTTAAATCTTTTCTTTTTAACATGAGATATTTCAAGCATACAAACAAGTGTAGAGAATAGTAAAGAACCCATTACTGAATTTAATCAAATGTTAACATTATGCCTTACTAGCTTCACTCTCTTTTTTCACAGAAATGAGAAATGCATACAGTTGAGGCTACTATGTAGTATAATGAATTTGGTGTTTATCATTTTCATGAAAGCTTCCATTCTTTTAATACACACTTATATATTCATATGATATTGTTTTGCAGCTTAATTTCTTTTTATTTAAATAGTACCATACTGTAATATATCAATCTGCAAACTGATTTGTGTGTGTGTATGTGGCTGGTTCAATACCCAGGGCCTTGTGCATACTAGGTAAGTGCTAGACTACTGAGCTATAATCTCAGCCCTGCACATTGATTTTTTTGGTTCAACATTATGCCTTTGAAATCTAAATAGTTATATCAATTAATTCATTTATTTTAACTGATTCATGGTATTCCAGTTAACATTTTTTTTGTACTGGAGATTAAACCCAGAAGTGCTTTATCATGAAGCTATATCCCTAGTCCTTTCAATTTTTTTATTTTGAGACAGGATCTTGCTAAGTTGCTTAGGGCCTTGCTAAATTGCTGAGGCTAGACTCAAACTTGTGATCCTCCTGCCTCAGTCTCCAAAGTCATTAGGATTACAGGTCTGTGACTATACTCCTTTCGATGGACATTATTTCCAATATTTTGTTTTTAACAAACATTTTTCATATATCCTTGGACCATGTGAGAGGGGCTAGAATACATGCTTAGATATGAAAATGCTGGGTCGTATATTCTGCTTTACTAGAAATTGGCAAATTCTTAATTTGGGGCTAGGGACCCACATCCATGGTTATGTTTCAGGAGGTTTAACATAACTTGTTTTACAACAAAAGTATTTGAATTTCATAATATACTCCAAGAGGTCTTTAGCATATTTCCTCAACCCCCTATCTCCTCTCAAGAGCTTCTGCCATTGAAAGTTATTAAGTACATAATTTAAAAATATTTAGAAAGCATACTCTAAAGATAAGTAGTATAGACTTGAAGAACTAGAAATAGACACCTGATCTGATTAAACAGGGTGGGAACCAACATGGAATTTAAAGGTAGCAGTGGGTGGAAGATTGAGAGTAGCTTTCTGACCACTGACAACTCTTATTCACTTTACATTCCATTAATTTTCACACTGCAGGAAAAATAATGGTTGTTAGTTAGGAAAATGTGAAAAAAAGGGAAGGTTTCTGGAGGTTGAATGAGGTGATGAGTTGGGAAATGTTGCCCATTCTTTCTTCAGGAGATTGTGCTAATGTGGTCTAGTGTATCTTTGCTATGCACAGAATGTTGACAGTATCTCGTCGTAACCCAGAAAGGCCATGGCTCCACTATGCACCCCTCCAATGCCAACAATGACCAGAAGATCAGCTAAGAGTAGTTGCTTTATCACAGAGTTTATTCTGTGCTCTGCACAAGGCTAAGCACTTTGTAGATAGTTCTTATTTACTTCTTAAAACAATCTAATGAGGGAGGTCTTACAATTATCCCCCTCCTTTTTAAAGAAATATTCACTTATTTTTTTAGTTTTAGGTGGACACAATATGTTTATTTTACTTTTATGTGGTGCTGAGGATCGAACCCAGTGCCTCATGCGTGCTAGGTGAGTACTACACCACTCAGCCACAACCCCAGCCGCCCCCCACCTTTTTTTTTTTTTATAAAGAAATTGAGGTATCTGACTTCAGTGCCCATGCTATTAACTCAAAGGTATACAAAGTCTTTGATTTTCTTTGATAGTGCTTTTAAGAAGGATGCTGAAAAGTCATCACAAAACTTTAAAAAGTCCAAAATAAAGGAATAAAATATTCTCAATTTCTTGGGAAAACTTGCTATTTGGCAAAGAAGAATAAAACTATTGTTTGAAGTTATTCTAGGCTGTGGGTACTATTGTTATAATAATTGTTTCATCATGATGGGCCATTGTCATATGTTAGTTGCTGACCAAAGAAAGTCAATTAATTTCAAAGATGAAAATCATCCATGAAATGAGAAAGGCTCAAACTAAATTTCTCATGCATTGTTTATAAGGACAACAGTAAATACAGCTTCCTGATAGACTCACTTCTTCAGGCACACATACAACCCTCCATTTCACAAGGGAGTTTTGTATGACTATATGAAAATCAATCTTAAACATAGTTTCATTATATGTATCATTTGCTAGGAAGAACTTCAGTCTAAAATGCTGTGCTGCCTTATCTCTGGCTGTAATGATCTTTTTAAAATCATGACAAAATTTATATTAGCTCATTTAGTCTTTATACTCTTTATAATTTTACTTTGCCTTGTATTTCTTTTTAATAAAACCTCAAATATGTATTTTTCTAAATTTAAACTACTCATGGATTACCTTCTCCCTTTCTTAGTTTAGAGGAGCTGGGGCTGTCATTTTGTTCCATTTGATACTGTCCACTTTCATGATGAAGTTCTTCTTCAATTCCACTTTCAGACGATTGCCCACTTAATGTTCCTTCATTCCAACTTTTACAGTTCTCATCTGAACTGTGTCTCACATGCAGCATTGATTCTATATCTCCATCATAGTTGGTTCCATTACAGTATTTAGGTGGTGGATAATGCTGTGATATGAATCCAACAAATTTCATTCCTTTTTTAGCAGCGACATTAATCTGAGGTTTGAAAAGAGATGGCAGAACATGATGTAAACTCCCTTTGCACTGAATATCAATTAACCCTTAGCTTTATGAAGGAAATCCATTAGAAGATTAAGTTGACCAGTAACTAAAGACCCATTATAAATTAATTAATAAGCCTTAAAACAGCACTCCAAAGGTTAGAGCACATTATCATCATGATTTCTTCAAACATAACTAATGTACTTTAGATATTATAAAAGGAAGAGCTATGTTTTTCTCTGAAAGGCCACGGTTAGGAAGAACTTGTAATTTTTATAGCATGATCTTTAGAGGCCATGAAATAAGGTCTTTCCAATTGGAGCAAAATTAAAAACTATTCTAAAGGCTAGGGTTGTAGATCAGTGGTATAGCGCTTACCTAGCATGTGTGAGGCACTGGTTCAATCCTCAGCACCACATAAAAATAAGTAAATAAAATAAAGGTATGGGTCCATCTACAACTAAAAAGAAAACTATTCTAAAAATCTCCACAAGTAACCAAATACATCTTCATTATGGGAAAATTAATTTAAAAGCAAAACTCATGCAGTACTCTGTGTGGTAAAGAAAAGTGTACTTGTTCCATGTTGATAAAGAAAAACATTATAAGACTAATGTGTTCATACAGATCATAAGCCCAATTCATAGCACAATTCTTCTGAAGCTTTCTGAGTTCATAGGCATTTGCTTATGTACTTATGCTTATATACTTACTAAGTATCTGCTAACACTGTATCTTGGTATTGTTGTCTCCTATCTGGGCCAAATACTAACAATTAGATTCAATCCTATCAATTAAAGAATAGGATTTTGAAACAGTTGATTTAGTTTTCATTTAAATGCATACTACCAAAAACCTAAGGCATTTTCTTTTCTGCTTTTCCTTCATTTATTTATTCTCTTTGTGTCTATGCCTTTCTCCTTTATTCAACTGGCAAGTCTTCTGAGAGCAGAGGTTGGGTCTTATTCATCTTTGTTTTGCAGTGTTTTGTAGTTATAGGTGCTCCATAAGTACTTGTTATATAAATTAAAATAAAAGATAAGCAATGCCTTTTATAAGATTACCATTACATGTTTTAAATGTTACCTGGGAAGGTGAGAAGGGTTATGATGGAGATTTCAAATGGAAACATCTATAGTTAGAATGAAAAAGGCCAGGAAGATCTGGGAGAAAAATCAAGAGCCCAATCAAAGAATGAAATTTAACTCAACTTCAGATGAAGAGGCATGAAAATTTGAGGAGGGGGGAGGCTATGATGGTGTGAAGTCAGACAAAGAACTATGGTTGGCACAACCTATTTTATTCCTATAAATTAATATATTAAACTTATAACGGTGCATTAAACCTTAAAAAATTAACCACAAAACTTCATTTTTATCAGGGGTCCTGGAAGAGAAGGTGGGGGGAGGGTTGGGTAAGGAGGCATAGCATTTTGCAGGTGGAAGTGGGTGAATTTATTACCTGTGTTTTCTTCTAAGTTGATTTAAGTTAGATTTTTCTATTACTAGAAAATCTTATTTGGAAAGGTCTGGTAACAAATATAGTATTAATGTCTTTTCCATTTTTTAAGTTGGATGATTGATATTTTTAAAATGCCATTTTAATTTCAAAATTTTGAGGTGAGGGAAACACTTGAAAATCTAATTTTAAAAACAGTAAACATTGGTATAATGTTTAAGCTTGATGTGAAAGCTAAATGTTCAACTATCAACTCTACATAAGGCAGCCATTCAAAAATAATATTTGGCACTCACATATTGCTGTTGTTCATACTCAGGGCAATGTTCAAATATTTCATGTGCTTTGTTTCCTGAAGCTTTTCTATTCATGAAATAACCCCATTACTCTAATTGCTGAAATAACAGTACTTTCCTGTTTAAATAGATCTTTTACTGTGAACAGGAAGTCCAATGAAAACAAGGATTCTGATGGTGATCTGTTAAGTCTAAATTAGTAGCTACATTTTTGTTTTCAAAGAAGTTTTCTGGAGTGGATTTATTCCAGGGGGAAAAAAAAAATCTCCCAGAATAGTAGCAGTAAACAGTATGTGTACTTTGTTTATAAAAAATCAAGACTCGAAGCCCATTCCTAAAAACCCTCATTGAATGTTTACTTTATACCTAAATGGGAAACATTATTAGCAGCTATAACTGGCTATACACAAACTACAGGTAATCTTACATACATGGTTATTTAAAGTACGTAAGCAATAACAGAAATAAATTTCAGTTACATGAAAGGAAATGCCTTAGGTTTTTGGCTGTGTGCATTTAAAAGAAATTTATTTTTTAGTTACAGGTGAACACAATATCTTTATTTTTTATTTTATGTGGTGCTGAGGATCAAACCCAGTGCCTCACACATGCTAGGTAAGCGCTCTACCTCGGAGCCACAACCCCAGCCCATGGCTGTGTGCATTCAAACAAAAGCTAAAACCTTACACATAGATCAATGTGGCTTAAAAAAAACAAAACAAAACAAAACAAAACAAAAAAACCCTCCCAAACCCCGCAAAATACCACCAAATTTAGAATATTTATGAATACATACTTTTTTTTGGTTTTAATCAACCTCAGTGTTCAACTTTTCATTTGTTTCAACTAACTTATATTGTCAGATATTTCATTCTTAACAATTAGTTGTTGCATTAAAGCCCATAAGATATTTGATTGTATTGATATACCACTGTTTCCTTGGGAAATCTTTCAGTTTTTGGAAATGTGATTCATTAATCACTGTTGATTAATTATCTCTGTACAGAAATGACTTTTTTTCCTTTCAAGTATTTTCTTGCAGTAGCCTCCTAACGAGATTACCAGGTTAGAAAATAAAGTAGAACTTGTGATTCTTATTACTAAGTTGATATTCAGGAACACTATCAATTTATTATAATACCAGTTGCAAAACGATCTTTTTTTCTTAAAGTTTTGCCAATTCTGGATTTAATAATTTTATTTTTCCAGGTTAATACTGGTGATGTGTTAATTCTTGGTTTTATTTATTTATATTAAAGACTGTTAGGTTGAATCTTTTGCCAGCTCTTGTTTCCATTTGCATGTGCTGTCTACAGGACTCTGTCCATTTAAGACTGGACATTTCTTTAGTGTAATTTATATTTATTTCTGTATATTTTGAAAGAAGCTCTGATACAAAACATTTGTTGCAGATTTCACCTTGATACTTTTTTAAAAGTTAATTTTTCTGTATATAATTCATTTATACTTAAATTCCTAAATTTATTCATAATCTATTTCTCATCTGAAATGTGTAGAATCTATTTTATATAGAATGACTGCTCACTTTCCCAGTAGAATTTATTAAATAATGGCTATTCTGGGACTGTGGTTGTGGCTCAGTGATAGAGCACTTACCTCGCGCATGTGAGGCACTTGGTTCAATCCTCAGCACTACATAAAAAAATAAAGTTATTTTTAAAAAATGGCTATTCTTCCATTTTTTTATTATCAGGTTTGTCATTAAGTTTTCTGTATGTGATTAAATTTACTTCTGGTATCTTCTGTTTCACAGGCCAGTATTTCTGTTTTTAACACCGTACAATTTAGTTCAAGTGCTTCAATACATTTTAAATTCTGGTAAATTGAGTTATCTATTATTTCTCTATTTATCTTAAAGAAAAAAAGGAAAATTGGTAAAGAAGAAATACCAAACTTTTTCAACATCACAAGAAAAATGTATGTATTTAGTACCTTTTCTATCAGTTCTTTAGCTATATCATTTGTTTGTGTCTCATAAGTTAGAGGACATTCCTCAATCACAAGTCTTGGGTGTCTCTGTACCCTGGGTGCTGCTGAATGCTTCGGGCTGTAACAGAGAGAATATGAAAATGAATGAGAACTCACAAATAAGGTCCAAAACAATCTTTTTGTTGTTATTTCAAGTCTGATGGCTATCTTCTCATATAAAAATATCAGAAACACATAGTAACATCTATGCTGGTTTATAGGTGTTTACCACCGCCCCAGGCCCTTGCTTATTTTCAACTTTGTTAGGGCACTTTAGATCTATTTGCAGGGCTAGGGTTGTGGCTTAGTGGTAGAGCACTTGCCTAGCATGTTTGCGGCACTGGGTTCAATCCCAGGCACCACATACAAATAAAAAGTAAAGGTATTGTGTTCATCTACAACTAAAAAACAATTTTAAAAAGAAGTCACATTAAAAAAATCTATTTGAATAATGCTATAAACAGAAAAGATTATTTATACACCGTGAAAACTACATCATGTTTGTTTAGCAATGCTTTAACTAATAAATACCTGATGGGACTCTGTCTCTTAGAGAAAACTGAAACCTGTACACCCACTGCTAGACATGTATAGGGAAGCAACTTCTCAGTAGCAGACAGTGTCCATTAAAAGCACACCTGGGATTGTTTAAAGCCCTTTCTTTTTATTTAAATTTTCCTATTTTCTCATCCTTTTTCTCTTATTTCTTTTTTTTCTTAGCCATTTCATAGTTAAAGCAATTTTATTGTTCCATCACTATAAAAAGAAAGAAGTTTTTACTCTGGTCTTAGATATGGTTTTTAAGAGTTGTATAAAAAAATTTAATGTATTGTTGGCAAGGTGACACATGGCTGTAATACCAGCGACTCAGAAGGCTTAGTCGCAAGTCACAGGACTGCAAGTTCCAGGCCAGTGCGGGCAACTTAGTAAAACCCTGTCTGGAAAAAAAAAAAAAAGTGAATTTAAGACATTGTTCTGGTTATTTCAATTCTTCATTGGTAAGAGCAACAATATTTTTACCATTAAAAAATCCATTGAATTTGCCATCTAGACAGGCAAAAATTGTTGTAGTATTATTTGAAAAAGTAGCTGTTAATATTTTTGAAAATTTCATAAAGAAAGAACTGCTGGATTAAATAATAAATTCTCATCTCTGAAAAAAAATATATATATTTTTGAAAAAATAAGATAAAATGGATGACTCTAAAATCTTATATTTCATGTGCAGGGCCATGGGTGCTATCCTCAGTGCAAAAAAAAAAACAAAAAAATTTGGTGAAAAAAGTTGATAATCAAGTTTGTCTAATTTGTGAGAACCTGATCTAATTGATCTTTCTGCTGTAAAGTTTTAGATGAGGAGATAGTTTCTGTTGCTACTATTAATAAAACAACATATGGCAGTTCAAAGAGCTCAGTGAGAATGGACTGCATAGCTCAGGTCAGTATGGTTAGCCCAGTGATAATACTTATAGCTAACTGCTACTCTCTCACGTGCTGTATTTGCTACAGGAGTTTCCAGGTCTAGTTTGCTTTCCTTTTGTCTACTGCCATCCTCACCTGCAACCTGTTGGCCTGCAAGGAGTTAGGGTCAGTTAGGAGTTTTAAGGAGGAGAGGTATGAATTTCCTTGCTTCAGTCCAGTTTCAACTGCTGAAAAATGTGTTTTAAACCTAAATCTCTAGTTTTTCTTTACTTTCCACCACTTTTCAAAATTATTTTTCTTTAGGCAAAGAAAACTCATTTTTAACTGCATTGTAGCATGATGGTTTCCTTGAGCATCATGCTTACCTTAATTTCAAGCGCAATAGCACCACCCGATATAGGTAACTTGCTGGTAGGTGTTTTCGCTGCCCCACAGATTGTATAGCAGGATGAATGGCCCCAACAACATATCCTTTAAGATAATAGTCTTCCACTTTTGTTACTATATCCAGAATTGAATTTATCTTGATAACTTCTGGATTTGGTGAAGCTGAAATATCAAAAGCAAAGAGAAATTTTCACATTAATAGGATTTAATTATACATTATTTCTATCTATGTACAATAATACCAATGAGTAGGAAAAATATCCATATGGCTTAAACTCAAAAAAGTTACACTATTTTGTATTATATATTTTCTAAACTTATTTCAGAAGAAAGCAAAAGTGATCTTATGAGCTGATATATTAACAATATGTCTTAAAGCAGAAATACAATGCCTTGTATGTTGTTTTTCCAATACTTTTTAAGGTTTCATTTGAGGGACTATATTTCCATTAGTAGATATTGAAGACAAATATAAAATACATAATAATTCAAAGAGCCAATTGTTTTTATGTTGAATACAATGAGATGCATAATTTCTAAAAAACCCAAAATTCATAGTTTTTTTTTTTTTTTGGTACTGTGGATTGAACCCAAGGTACTTAACTACTGAGCCACATTCCCAGCCCCTTTTATTTTTTATTTTGAGATGGCGTCTCGATAAGTTGCTTAGGGCCTCACTAAGTTGCTGATGCTGGTTTAAAACTTGCAATCCTTCTGCTTCAGCTTTCTGAGTTGCTGGGATTATAGGCATGAGCCACTGTGCCTGCTACAAATCTAAAACTAAAAATGGAAGAAGTGGCATTTGATAAATAGGAATCATCAAGTGCTTTCTTATTTCCAGTTAGTCTTCAAAAGTACCATGATTTCTCTGAAATGCTAAAAATACAATTTCTTGTGGCATTTATATAAATGTTTAAGTAAAGGAATTGAAATATAAAGTTATAAAGAAATTCTTTATAACAAGTAAAAATCTAAATGTAGATGAAGTCTAAATGTAAAATTGATATGCAACTGAATTATCACTTGAAGGAGGGAGAAACTGTAGAAATCTGTACTACACAGTAGCACTATTTATATAGACTAGAATATAAAAGAAAAAAATGCATTATTTTAGAAAATATTCTTAATATTCTAGCAATTTTAATTTATATAATTAGCTTATTTTCTGTAATTATGTCTGTTATTTTATGGAAAACATTCAGAATTGTTATCTGGAAATAAGCCTGCACTTTGATCATCTCTTGAGTTGCAATACACATAAAATTACTTCCAGGTATGAGCTGAGTTGGCTCCTGGCCTTCTGTTAGCGTGGTCAGTGGAGTCTCGAAAAGAACTGCGGCTGATTGCCTGAACACAGGAAGAAGGTTAAGAAGCAGACGAGGAAGAAGGGTCAGAGGAAATCCCCTCCTCCCCTTACATTAATATCCACGTGATGGAAAAGAAATTCACCATCAGTGGGTATTTATGCCAACTTCTCAAACTAAAATAAAATACTCAACAGAAAAGCTATACAAGCCAGGATGAATTCATTTCCTCCAATTTTCATCTTCTTTTGGATTTAAACTAATATTCTACTTTTAATACATTTTCTTCATTATGATGAATAGAAATGAAAACAAAGAGAATGATCCTGGACTTTGAAGAAACAGCTGGGCTTCCATGTAAACATCCCAGCCCTGGCTGGTTGTGTGGCAATTATTCCATGATTCATTTGGCTTTACTCTTAATATTTGGACCCTGATTTCTAAACAAAGGAACTGAAAAACTATGAAATAAAATTAAACAAGCTCTAAGGAATGAAATACAACTTATACTTATGTTAGAGATATATATTAATCCTACCATTGCTGAGCATGATATAAAAGAATCTTCACAGTCTGGCCTCTGTCTGTGGGTTCATATTTCACTCTTATCATGCTATCTTTTGTGCAGCTTGCTTTGGCATGTCAGAACTACTGTAAGTTTCTGACCCTGCCACTCTGTCAGGCCACTAGGCCTTCATTTCCTTCCCTGCCTAGTAAATCATCCCTTTCTCTGTGCTGTACCTACTCTCACCAGTGCCCTTGTCAGACTATGTTATAGTTATTTCTTTATATGTCTATCTTGATGTTAGACTGAGAATTCCTTAAGGGAAAACAAACAAACAAATAAACAACAACAATAACAACAACAAAAAACTACCTTATTCATGTCTTTCTGTGTCTATGTTCCTTGGATCACTATGTTAAATTGGAAATAGTGTTTGTTAGGGCAATTTAGAGGCAAAAATATTACATAAAAGGGGGAAAGAAATCAATGTGAACTAGTGCAAATGAAAAACATTAGGTTAGGGAATTTAGGAACAATTCAGGTTATTCAGACCTTGCAGGAGAGAGGCAAAATAGAAAAAACAGCAGTGATGTGGAATTGTTTTTCATTCTTTTGATATTGGAAGTGAGGGTGGTCAAGAACATGGTGAGGATCCAGAGTTAAAAAGTAATGTTCACAGGCTGGGGCTGTAGCTCAGTGGTAGAGCACTTGTTTCGCAGGTGTGAGACCCTGGATTCGATCCTCAGCACCATATAAAAATAAAGATATTGTGTCCATCTACAACTAAAAAAAAAAGTCATGTTCACTCTAGTTCAACTTTACGTTCCTTATGTTAATGATATTACAATGAGAAAAAACATATTGCTAATGAAATAAAAAATACGGTGGCACACACCCGTAATCCCAGCGGCTTGGGAGACTAAGGCAGGAGGATCTCGAGATCAAGCCAGCCTCAGCAATGATGAGGCACTAAGCAACTCAGTGAGACCCTGCCTTTAAATAATATACAAAAAAAGGCTGTGGATGTGGCTCAGTGGCTGAGTGCCTCTGGGTTCAATCCCTGGTTACCCTTCCCCCTGAAAAAAAAAGTCATGAGAGGTGAAGCTGCATGGGATTTAATTGGCTCTATGTTGGAGTGAAATTCAGAGAGACATTTGGGACAGGATTGTGCTACAGACAAAGAATAATTCAATGAAGAAGAACAGTGTGGCTTTTATCAAAAGGGTTCTTTTGAGCTTGTGGGCTTGGGAAACTTCTGGGTACGGCTGGCCTTGCTTCTCTGGCTGACTTGGTGGCATTCAGTGTTAGGTCACATGTTGCCTCACCTAGTTGACTTTGGCATTATTGCTTGGGAGGAAAACCCAGATATCAAGAATTCAGAGCTGGGAAAAGTCTACTCCCCTGGAGGTATAGGTTAGAGTTCAGAGCAATTTAGGCACTTTGATGCTCTGTATGTTCTCTGTAATCTTGCTTGCCATCATCCCAGAAAGTGGAGTAATATGGGAGCCAGCACAAAAAGAGTAGCTAATGGGCTCACAGAGACACTTATGTTATTCCTACACAAAGAATATTTGAAATGTTTCAGTTTTTGTATTTTCATCACCTGCTCAGCAGTTAATTCTACTATTTTAGTTTTATAGTTCTACATTAAAGATTATATGTCATCTGGATTGTGGTGGTTGTACAATAGGTGGATGTATTTAATGTCACCAAACTATAAACATAAAAGTAGTTAAGATGGTATATCTTACATCATGTATATTTTACCATTATAAAAAAGATTACATGTCAAAGATTTTTATTTTATGTATGTTTAATACATAACACATATTCATATATATATGTGTGTGTATGTTTGTATGTGTGTGTGTATATATATATACATATATATATATTTTTTTTTTTGTATTGGGAATTGAACCTAAGGGTCTCAATCACTGAGCCACACCCCATCCCTTTTTTAAAAATATATTTTTTTGGTTGTCAACGGACCTTTATTTTTTATTTACACGCAGTGTTGAGAATTGAACCTAGTGCTCCATCACTGAGCCACAACCCCAGCCACCACCACCACCACCTTTGCCCTTTTTTATATTGTATTTAGAGAGAGGGTCTTGCTGAGTTGCTTACGCCTTGCTAAGTTGCTGAGGCTGCTTTGAAGTTGAGATCCTCCTGCCTCTGCCTCCTGAGCCACTGGTATTACAGGCATGTACCACTGTGCCCGGCTAAGATTTCCTTTGTTATTAAGAATGAATAATATTCCATTTTATGTATATACTACATTTTGGTTTTTTATTTGTCCATCAAATGATAGTTGGGATGCTTCCACCTCTTGGCTACTGTGAATAATGTTGCTGTGGACATGGGTATCTCTTTGAGATACTGCTTTGGATTCTTTTTACATAAATACCAAGAAGTGAGATTGCTGGATTTTCTCTATGTTTTATTCTAGGAATTTCATAGTTTTAGGTCTTACTTTTAGGCCAAAGATTTTTTTTAACTTTTGGTTTTCAACTTGGAGAGGCCAGTAAGTAGCTACTTGTCATCCCAAATCCAGTTCATCTAAACCTGATTACTTTCACCATGCCACTCAAGTTTGACCCCAACAAACCAAATCATGTTCTTGAGGTGCACCCACAGCAAAGTTGGTAACATGTTTATCCTGGCCTCCACAAGTGGGCCCCTATGTCTGTCTCTTAAAAAAAGTTAGTGACATTGCCAAGGCAACCAGTGACTGGAAGGGTCTACTACAGTGAAACTGACCACTCTGAACAAACACAGTGACAGCACTTTTTGCTTCTGTCCTGATCATCATAACTTTCCAGGAATGGTCCAAAAACAAAAAGAAAGATAAAAACATTAAACATAACAAGCATATCACTTTTGGTGAGATTATTAGTATTGTACCAATCTTTTAGTCAGACAGAAAACTCTCTGGAACCATTAAAGAGATACTACTTTGTTCTACTTAACTGGAAAGCAGACTACTGGCAACCTAAAAAATCTAGCACTCATAACCACCACTCACCTAAAAAAAAAAAAAAAAGGAGTTCTAAAAAATCCCATGCACTTTTCCCATAAGAAAGACATGGAGCCACCTCCCCTAGCAGCTCTCTCAACAGAGCATGTGTTAGAGAGGTGGTGTTTTCCAAACTTCAGTCTGTGGAGTACACTTTTATGATTTTGACCATATTTGAATACCACCATATCCTTAGCTTTCCCTTTTAATTTTCATTTTAAGAAAAATAAAATTATTCCAAAAAGAATTCATATAATTCCTATAATCATAGAACAGTTATTTACCATAAGTGGCAAGTTGTCTTACAAATAAATACAATGAAAACTTATTATAT